TCGAGGGAAGAGCTAAATACTGCATCATTTCATTCATTTGTAAAAGTAGGAAAGGACAAATTTTAGAGATTTTTTAATTCAAAATTGGTTCATATATTAAAAGCATCTTTGAAAGTTAAAGTCCTTGACATGTAAAATTCATATCTGAATAATTTTTGATAAATATAGATAAGAAATGTGACTTCTTTATGTTTACTAATTTTAAAATTTAAGTAAGGAATTATAAAGGAATATTAGATAAGATTGGCAAAATAAGCCTTATAAGTTTATTAGAAAACAGGCTATTATGTTGGAATATAAAATATTTCCAGATCCATTTGGAACTAAATATTTGAATATGTTGCAGTTACTTTCTTAAAATTCTGGTTTAAATTTTATTTTCCCCCTGCCTTTTCCTTGTTCATCACTAAACTGTGAAATCTGCAGGTCAGGGACACTCGCCTCATGTCATGCAGACCGCTAGAGGGTTCTAGTTTCCTCTTTTCCAGGCCCTCTAGACCTGCCCAACCTCTGGTGCGAGTGCGCCATCTAGTGGCTTTGAAATCATTGCTGTCTGAGTGCAATTTACTTATTGTACTGCCTGTTACAAAATACCGTGGCATATATTTTTAGAAAATATTAAGAATTCTAAACAAAAATGCCAAATTCATGAAAATATTTTTTCTAAAATTTATACTTAAATCATTTAATAATGACTTTAATTATTAAACTGAAATGGGAGAAATTCACAGTACACAGTAGTTGTGTATAGCCCAGATTTAAATGACCATTCATTTACATATACTGCATATTTATTTAAATGCACTGTACACTGCTTCATGGAGATAAATCACACACAATTTAGACCAGTGAATAGGAACAATTACCTGTTGACAATCACATGTGTGTGTGTGATTGCTTATATGTATATGTGTGTGTGTATATATATATATATATATATATATACATATATATAAAACATATATATTTGTCTTCCCCCGCCTCCTTTTTTAACAAGCCTTAAACAATTTACTACTTGTAGGTGTTAAAGCATTTGAAATATTTGATCAAATCTTTATGCCATTATTTAAATTGCACATTTACAAAATAATCCTTATTTTTCTTTTCAAAAGGCATTCTTCAGAATTTTTTAACTCTAACTTCCTTGCTAATATATAGAAAATGTTCCTCTTTCACATTCTTACAAGTGATTCATTTGCTGTCTGAGTCCTAAATAGAGGACTTGATCAGGTACTCATAAAGCAAAGAACAATGTTAAAGGTAAAATTACTGTGACTTCTCACAGAAAGCTTCTCATTGCTACTTGCTTATCTCCTGTAGCATGAGTAGTTCTCATAAGTCATCTGTTATAATCCCAACCTTCACATTATTATCAGTCACACACAAATAACTTGCTCAATATGCCTGAAGCAAAGGAAAGGCTAAGAAGATATTTATTAAAAGCAAAGCCAACCGAATCACAACAGAACCTGTGCTGATTTCATCTTGAACATGAAGTTATGAAATCTTACAAATATTTGTAAATCAGGAATCAGTATGGACTCACTTTGAACCAGTGGCAGCAAATAAACCAAATGTCATTCTTTCTTTTGAAAAATACCGTGCTTTGATTGATAGTTTAGAAACTACACCTTGCACAATGTCACTCTGCTAAGTGGATGAATGAATTTGGTATATGGGTTATAGCAGGAATTTCACATAGATTTTTTTTTTTAATGTAGCTGAGGGATCAAGAACTATGGATTGGAGGTCAGAAAATTAGGTGAACTTTTAATTACTAATTAATGAATTAAGACCCATATTGATAAAAGTTTCTAGGATCAGCTCTCATAGCTTTTTCTTTGAACCTGTCCTACTCAATATCTGGCAAAAATAGAGACGCTGGAGGAGAGATATACTATACTAACAGCAAGTTAGATGGGAAGAGAGTTATTTTAATTTAATAGAATAATAGGTCCAAATCAGTAAAATGGATATAGGATAACTATCTCCTAGACTTGAAGGAGTATGTGCATCCTTCACAGTAATGATGCTGGCTTGTGTCTCCTACAGGAAATCATCCAGACTAGGGCTACACACACCCAGGGAGAGGAAACCTACTAAGGCACACCTTGCTTTATTGCGTTTTGCTTCATTGTGATTCACAGGAGTTCACGCCCCCCCCTTTTTTTAATTGATTTTTTTACAGAGAGTAAGGGAGAGGAATAGAGAGTTAGGAACATCGATGAGAAAATAACATCAATCAGCTACCTCCTGCACCCTCCCTCCCTCAACTGGGGAAATGCCCACAACCAAGGTTCATGACCTTGACTGGAATCTAACCTGGGACCCTTCAGTCTGCAAGCTGACACTCTATTCACTGAGCCAAAGCAATCAGGGCTTTTTTTTTTTTTTTTTTTTTTTTTTGTAACAAACCGAAGACAAGACTCTCCATCAATAAAAATATTACGACTCACTTTATTGTGGTGGTCTGGAACTGAACCTGCAATATCTCTGTGAGGTATACGTTTAATTCCAAAGGAGTCATCAGTTGAGGGATGGGTCTTACTAAAAACTGCATGTTTAGGTTTAAGAGAAATCAGTTACAGGTACAGGGGATGGACAAGATCTAGTTTTCATCAGATTTTTTTTTTAAATTTAGATGATCAAACAGAAAATCAACTGTTAAAAGATTTAACATGATCTTTGACTCTATTAAGAGATGTCCATTAACAACACCCTTTCCCTCGATCTGTGGTATGGAAGATTGAAAAAGACAGTGATGACTTGGGGTACATCTAGAAAAATGTGGCTGAGAGAACTGAGGGTGTCTGGAGAAATGAAGGTGCCAGTGGTTCATGCCAGTGTTATGAGGAGCTCCAGGGCCAGGAAGTGAAAATTACAGGGTGATCATTGGAGTTAGCCCAGACAAGGGACCCAGAGCCAAACACCACCATAAGGAACAATTCAACATGGCAAGAGAGGGGATGGCAAGGGTACAAACTTATAACTAGGAGGTAAATAAGTTCTGAAGATCTAATGCACAGCATGGTGATTATAGTAAACAAATTGTTCTCCCTACAAAAAAAGAAATGATAATTATATGACACCATACAGTTGTTAGCTAAGCTATGGGAGTAATCTTATTGCAATATATAAGTGTATCAAGTCAATACATTGTACACCTTAGACTTATACAATGTTGTATGTCCATTATGTCTCACTTAAAAAACACAAATTATTAGTCTAGTTATTAACTCTTTACTGATTTTAAACCCAAGTATTTGATTATACAAAGAATCTGCCCTCAGAAATGTCACCCAACTTATTTTGCATAAGAATAAGCTCTCTGACACTCAAAAATGTTTGAGGAGAGATGAGGATATGATGGCTGTGTGCACATTTCTCATCAGGAACCACACTTGAACACACAGCGGCAGTAACAGGGGTGAAGGTCAAATCAAAGGTGTCCGAGTGTGCAGAAAGCAGCACAGCAGTCACCTGATCTCTGTGAGAGAGGACACCCACGGGATGGGATCCCCCTCGTAAGGAAACAAACTACATTCTGAACCACTTGGACCTCAGAAGTCTATGACTTCATGTTACCAGTAAGCCAAGCTAATTAATTCCACTTCAGCATGCACGGTTTACATTGCTTTGAATTACAATGCATACATCCTGTCTGTCCTACTTCCCACAGTACATGGTAAAACTTGTAATCTTGTAATGCCATGGAGTTCTATCCCTTAATAGTACCCAATTAAACCTTTTCCTCTCTGTCACTGTTCATCACTTGGAGAAATGGAATAGAGGTGTCTGTGTGAGAATGAGGCTGATATGTATTTTATTTTATTATTTTTAAAAAAATATATTTTATTGATTTCTTACAGAGAGGAAGGGAGAGAGATAGAGAGCTAGAAATGCCAATGAGAGAGAAACATCGACCAGCTGCCTCCTGCACACCCCCTATCGGGGATGTGCCCGCAACCAACGTACATGCCCCTGACCGGAATCGAACCCGGGACTCTTCAGTCCGCAGACCGACGCTCTACCACTGAGCCAAACCGGTTTCGGCTGATATGTATTTTAGAAAGTTTAAGGAAAGGAAGAATAATTTGAAATATATGATGACTAACTGAAGAAAGGTCATTCTTTTATTATTTAAGCAGGAATGATCCCATAAAGGTAATATGACTTGATCATACTATAATTTTGTTCACTATCTAGCAATAGAGTAAAACATGTTACTCATTTTCATGTCTCTACACTCGTTCTTTGCCTCAATGTTAAAGAAATTGATTCAAAAATAGTACCTAAGAAAGAAGAAAACGTCTGGGGAAGCTCAGGATCAATGGAGAGAGAGGAAACTGGAACTCAGTGGAAAAGCGGAAGGTATTGGAGGCAGGGAAGAAAGAGGGAGGAGAGAATTTGCAAAATGTGTTGATTATTTTGTAAGTATTAAAAGCATAATGCATTAAATAAGCAAAAAAGTCAACTCCTGATCTTATAATGCTTTTGTGACTTCAGGCAAACCTCCTTCTCTGCCATCACATAATCACCCCCCCCCCCCCCCCCACACACACACACACACACTCAGAATCCCTGCTTCACGTGAGGAGGCATGGGGCAGTCTCTGGAAAGGAGCTTTGGAAATGTCTCTTAAAGAACGTGGAACAAGAATGGCAAAGGATGATTCTGAATGATTTTACTACCTCGGCTGGGAAACGGTTAATATAGTATGGTTATTTATTTTTATTTTTTGTTAATCCTCACCTGAGGATACCTTTTCCATTACTTTGTAGAGACACAGAAGAAATAACTTCCTTGGTTGCTAAAGTTCACTAAGACTTAAGCCTTTTTGAACGGAGGGAGGAAAAGCATTCTGCTCAGAAAGGAACCGAACTGAAGAAATACGTGCGGTGACACCATCCAGCACCCTCGTGGCTCCGGAGTCCGGAGGTGAGCAGCTGGCCCTTCTGGACGCTGCCTGACCCTCCGGCGGGAAGCCCTGCGGAGTGTACCTGTGTGTGTCCTCCGATGAGCCTTCAGGTGAGAACTTTTTGTGTACACTTTGTTGCATCCCTCAAAATCACATCTGTGAATCCGCCGCTTTCTGGAGTCTGGGGATTCAGACCGTCTCTGGCGTCTTGTGCTCTCAATACTAAATGGTGAAATGGAACTGGAAAGGGAAAACATGAAGTTAATCAGTGAGAAACACAGCAGTCTGTCCTGGTCCTCATAGCAGGAGACCTTAGTCTCACAGTCTAAGCTTCATACAGACGCAAGGCCCTGGTCCGGGTTTCCCAGACATGTGTCATTTCTCAGTCTCAAAGGCAGGCCGTTTGATCTGTTTCTGGTCTAGCACTCCTAGGGAGCGAAAGACATACTTAAAACAACATCAAGACAAAAACAAAACCTAAATGAAAGCAGTGGCAGGTGAGTTGATCCTCATTATCGAATAAGAAGCAAGCTGGTGGTGTTCCAATTATACCTTAAAATTGTGAACTTCAGAATACGCTTATAGAGAATATTCTAGGAAGTCCTGCTATAGACAAGTGACAAAAATGAAGACATTTGGTAAGTAGCACGAGGGTCTGAACTGCATGTGACAACAGAGAAAACCATGTAAAATCACAATGTACATTTCAAAACAAGTGAGGTCTGGCTGAAAGAAGTACATCCTACGTCAATTACATGACTCATGACAAGCTATTTCTGTTCGGTAAAATGCACTTGACATTTAACTTCTACAGTCGGTGGTTTTCCACGGTGAGGAATAAAGTTCATTGTATTTAAGATTAGCTGTACCAACATAAGGAAAAAAAAAAGTTTAACTATGAAATTTGGCCCCAACTTGCACGATGTTTAATCTTAATGCCGTGGTAGAAAAACAGGATTAGCTTGTAATGTCAGTAATTGATTAACATGCACTTCTTCAAACCCTAATCTCTTTTGATTGCGATAGAAATGAAGAACATGACTCATTTTTTTTTCATTGTTAATGAAGTTTAAAAAAAATATAGTGAAATAGAATTAAATGTTTGCTTTACTACACCATACTTCTGCTATAAAAAATTTTCCACTGTTGATATTTTGACATATTTTCTTCCCATTTTCCCATGTGTTGATGCTTTAAAAATGTATTTTGTATTAATAAATCACTTTTAAAATAAAACCCTGTACATTATAGTTAGAGATAAATCTCACATCTTCCATAATCAACCTGATCCCTTCTCCTCCTCTATCATCAATTTTCTTTAAATCCCTCCGAATTCCTTTAAAGTAGGCTTACTTATCCATATTTGCATTCATCAAAACTCATTTGTTTTATGGTTTTTAAGAGGTAAAATAATATACTGTTCACATTATTCTGAAAATGGGTTTTCACTCAACATTAAGCATTCGAGATCTAATTCATGTTGATACAAATACCACATTTTATTTATTTGAAGTGCTATATATCATGACTGATTTTAAGATGATTTTTAAAAATATTTTAATGTTACCAAAATTAGGATTCTTAAAATTAGTAGCTTGTCATCATTTAACTGACATGCCATTTTTTCTTTATTAATGGTACATAACCAATGGTACATTTTTCAATAGATGACATTTTAACTTAGGTCAGGGGTTGGTAAACTTTTTCTGTAAAGAAATAGATAGCAAATATTTGATTTGCATTTTGAGAGCCAAACAGTCTATGCTGTAACAAATCAACCCTGAAATTATATATATAGCATAAATGTAGCTATGGACAAAATATAAACAAATGAGTATGCTATGTTCCAGTAAAACTTTATTTAAAAATAAAGAGTGGGTTGTATTGGTCCATAGGCTTTAATTGGTCCATAGGCTTTAATTCACCTAACTTGGGTAAAATATGATAATAGCCTAATGCATATTCATTCCAGATATTTATTTATTTATTTATTTATTTATTTATTTATTTATTTATTTTTGTTAACTGTCCCCCAGGGATATTTTCTATTGACTTTTAGAGAGAGTGGGAAGGAGGGGGAGAGACAGATATAGAGAAATATCGACATGAGAGAGACACATTGATTGGTTGCCTACTGCATGCACCCTGACAGGGGTTGGGGACCAAGCCTATAACCAAGGTACCTGTCCTTGATCAGAATTGAACTCGTGATCCTTCTAAGAGCCAATGCTCTAAACACTGAAAAAACTGGCTAGAGCTATCCAAGAGTTTTAAAATCCACTTCCAAAATGATGGACATAAGATTCCTTTATTTATTTATTTATTTATTTATTTATTTATTTATTTATTTATATTTATTGTTGAAAGTATTACATACACCCCCCCCCCTTTTTAAAAAAATATATTTTATTGATTTTTTACAGAGAGGAAGGGAGAGAGATATGGAGCCAGAAACGTCGATGAGAGAGAAACATTGACCAGCCACCTCCTGCAAATCCCCCACCGGGGACATGCCTGCAACCAATGTACATGCTCTGGACTGGAATCGAACCCAGGACCTTTCAGTTTGCAGACCGACGCTCTACCACTGAGCCAAACTGGTTTCGGCCATACATCCCCCTTTTTCCCACTGACCCCCTGCACTCTGCATCTGTCATCCCCCAAGGCCTTCACCACACTATTGTCTGTGTCCATGGGTTTTGCATATATGCATATGTTCTTTGGTAATCTCTCCCCGCCAACCGACCCATCCCCACCTCCCTTCTGAGATTCATCAGTCTGTTCCATGCTTCTACGTCTCTGGATCAATTTTGTTCATCAATTTATTTTTGTTCATTAGATTCTACATATGAATGAAATCATGAAATACTTGTTTTTGCCTGACTGACTTATTTCCCTTAGCAGAATACTCTTCAGGTGCCTCCATGTTGTTAGGTTATGTCTAACATTTCACTAGAACATTGCTCCAATCAACTTTTTAAGTTTATTTTTTCTAAAATACTTTAATGATTTTTAGAGAGGAATGGAGAGAGACATTGATGTGAGATCAACAGCCATTGGCTGTCTCCTGCACACCCCTTCCCTGGGATCAGAGCCTGCAACCTGGGCATGTACCCTGAGGGGGAATGGACCTGGCAACCTTACAGTACCCTGAATGATGCCAACCAACTAAACCACACTGGTGAGGGTCAAACTGTTTTTACACATGTGCCTTTTCAAGTTTTCAATATATCATTTTACTTGTAATAAGATTCTGTAGCCAAAGCTTTATATTATTAGGTAAATTAAAATATAAGTGATGTGTATCTACTTAAACAGTTTTATATAAGATCTCTATTAGTAGAATGAAAAAAAGAATAAGAGTTATCTAAGCCATTTTTTCCAGTCTTCTTATCAGTCAGTGTGGATTTGTGGTTTTCTACATAAGTGACTCAGCTGCAGGGATTGGAGCTTATTGTGAAAAGAGTCAAAATGATGTGACTGGCATGCTCATAAAAGAACAGCATTAGTCAGTCCTGACAAGGGTGTGGTTCTTGTGCACAAATAAGATTTATGTGTGAGAGTAGGGCAACATTTCCTGAATATCTAGTCATGGCAATAAATATGGATCTTGGTACTAGGGACCTCAAAAACAGAAACTTTTGTGTTGTGATATTTGGATCTTCTAAATTGAGAAAATAATATGGTATTTGTTTCCTTCAAATTATAACTTAAAGTCTATAATAAGAGCACTTTTTTTGTACAGTACTTTATATATAGTAATTAGAGGCCCAATGCATGAAAATTTGTGTAAGAGTAGGCCTTCCTTTCCCTGACTTCGGACACTGGCTTCCCTCTGGCACTTGGAATCTGGGCTGCTTACCTCCTTCAAATTTTGTGCACTGGGCCTCTAGTATATCTATAATAATAAAAGCATAACATGCAAATTGATCGAACGACCGAACAGCAGAACAACTGTCCGGATAACCACACTATGACACGCACTGGCACCAGGCCAGCCAAGGTGTGTGCAGTGCCATTGGTCGGTGGAGGGGGACAGGTGGGACCTCCTGCCATTGCCTCATATTGCCCTGCAGAGGGAGGCCCAGAACACCAGCTGGTGGGGTGAATGATGGGTGGTGGGGGGCTTTTTGATTGCCCCAAAGGGAGTGACCCAGGTCATCCTCTGCAAGGTGATTGATCGTGGAGCCCTGGCCAGGTGTGTGGGGCCTCCTTTTGCTGGGCGACCTATCACAGAGCCCCATGATTGATTGGCCCATAGAGGGAGGCCCAGGCCAGCCAGCCAAGCGATTGTACCCCATGCCTGCTGCCCACAGAGGGAGGTGACCGGTGCCAGGGGAGGGGAGAGGAGGGCAGTGCTGCACAGACGGAAAGCAGTGGCAGTGGCAGGGGTGGGCCAGCTTCCTGCAGCTGTGGGAAGGAAAGCTCCGATAGACCCTGATGGCCAGCCAGGCCGAGGGACTCTTCCGGAGGAGTCCCAGAGAGCGGGCAGCCTGAGTTGAAGTGCACCAATGTTGTGCACCAAGCCTCTCGTTCAATAATATTGTAATAACTATTTACCATGTGAGATGAGTAGTAGTTTTATCAGGGTGATCACTTCTTAAGCTATATAAATGTCTAATCCCTGCTTTAAACACCTGAAACCAATATAGTATTGTGCACATTAACTGTAATTGAAAAATAAAAAACACACAAAATTTAAAACACCCCATATGTACATGAGTACTTCAGTTCTCTGCTCTAAGTTCAAGAGAAGGGCATTTTAAAGCATCCTTTATAGTTGAAATTCTCAGTGGGAGGCCATTGAGATCCCTCTGAACATGCATAAGATGCTGGTGAATAAAATAAGAACCTTCCCTTTGACCCTGGTTAGCATCCAGGTAAGTGGCAAAGGGTGAAGGAATGATCCTTCCTCTCAGCAATTGTCATCCTGTCCTGTCTCACCAGGGGGCTCAGAAGCAAGGGTGTTTGGTGACAGAATAGCTATAGTGACACTTTAGGTGCTTCTATTCCGCCTGCCCAAGCTTTCTAGGCAATATTCTCTTCGTTAAAAGGCACTTAAGATATCCTCAACTGCATGGAAACTGACTTCTGTGCTTCAAAAGCTGGCCTGGTTCCAAAGCATGGGATATGCAGGTAAGTACTGCCTATGCTGGCATGGGAATCTTCCAGTAATCTTTAGTCATAAGCTTGGTATGATGAAAACGACCGAGGGAAACAGGGCTGGTGTGTTCCCAGAA